AATTGAAAACCGTTTTCCCACAAACACGAAATTTTTAAAAACAATTCAATTTGTTTAAACATTGTTGAATTAGCCCCGAAAGTGTAATTTTCCGACCAAAGTATGAAAAATAATTTTAGCAATCTCATGCTGACGCACCATGACGTCACTGTCACTGTCACGTGACCACCTTCGGTCCTTTGTGTTTAGTTTTGATTTCGGTCTGGTGGCAGCAACGTCAGAGCATTCGGAGCGCGTTTTCGCGAATTTCTAATTAATTGCTAATAAATATTAATGACAATATTCTGCATTAGCGCTGTGAACACGGAACAAAGTGTGCATTTTTCCAAAAATGCCCGAAAACGGAGTAAATACGGTTGGAGTTTTAATTTTAAGTATTAATTAATGTAATTAAAACCGTTTTCCTACAATCATGAACATATTAAAAACGTGCTATTTTCCGGTCAAAATATGAAAAATAATGTTTCTAATCTCATCGTGATGTTCGATGACATCACTGAACAAATATTGCGGTTTTCGGTTAGTTTTGATTTCGGTATGGTGGCAGCAACATCGGAGCATTCGGAGCTCCGTTTTGGCTTAAAAGTAGCCCGTGTTCGCGAATTTCAAATTTATTGTTCTTCTCATGGCGAGACAAACTCCAGACCTCCTCGTATTGTTTGGTTCTCGCTGGGCAACAACAACGAGCGAGCACAGTCATCGCTCTTTGGTGGCAAACGTGGAGTATTGTGTATATTGTAACTTTTGTAATTCAACCAAATTGTAGTATATAGTGTAGTGTTACTAACTTAATTTCGCAACAGTGCAAATGCTTTGTGGGTTTTCATGGTGCACTTGCTTGGGTATTAATTTATTAATTTTGCAACAGTGCATTCTTTGGTTCAAAGTCTGAATTCTCCATGTCGTCAGACGCTCTGGTCTGGGGGGTTCTGTTAGCCGTTAGACGCTGGGTCATCATCCTAAACGGATGAGGTTCATCATCCTAAACGGATGAGGTCAGTCGGCCCTGTATCTATGCGGCTGGGTTCTCCCTTGGGCTTGTGAGCGCTGCGACCAATAGATTTCGTTCCGAGTTCCATCGGTGTGCTTGCTTGGGTATTCATTTTGCAACAGTGCATTCTTTGGTTCCGAGTCTGAATTCTCCATGTCGTCAGACGCTTTGGTCTGGGGGGGTTCTGTTGGCCCTTAGACGCTGGGTCGCATCATCCTATAAGGATGAGGTCAGTCGGCCTTGGATTTATGCGGCTGGGTTCTCCCTTGGGCGTGTGAGCGCTGCGACCAATAGATTTCGTTCAGAGTTCCATCGGTGTGCTTGCTTGGGTACTAACTATGCAACTGTATTTTATCTGTATCTGTATCCTGTATTGTATCTGTATCCTGTAATGTAGCTGTATCGATCTAGATTGTAGGTACCTGTATTATGTATTGTATTAAATTGTACTGTACTGTATAACGTTTCTTCCCTCATTAACAATTCCTAGCCCTCTCCTATCCTGGCAAGATTTGCTCCAGACCTTCCCGTGGTTCTTGCTGAGCATCAACAATCGAGGTCAAAGAATTCAAATATTTAGAGCAAAGTTGCACGAAATTGACGAATTTCGCTAGTTGGTGGCCAACGTGGAGCATTTATCCTGTTTAAATATGTATTGATATGTCAAAATTAAACCGAAAATCATTTTCCTATAAACAAAGTTATGAAAAACAATTCAGTTTGTCCAAAAATAGCAAAATTAACCCCGAAAATATGCAATTTCTCGGCCAGTGTGAAAAATAATTTTGACAAACTGTCACCCACTACATACATATAAATTTTTAAATCAAATCAAATCACTTCAGTTCTATTTTTCAATTTTTTGAACATTTTAATTTTTCACCTTTTCAATTTTTCGATGTTTCAGTTTTTCAGGTTTTAATTTTTCGATTTGAAGCTTTTCCGTTTTGCCGTTTTTTGATATTACAGTTTTACATTTTTCCAGTTTTCGATTTACAATTTTTCTATTTTTGTAATTTTCAGTTTCTCGATCTTACAAGTTGCTTTGCAATTGTTCGATTTTTTTTAAAGGTTAATATTTCAAGTTCTTAATTTTTAATTTTCCATTTTCCCAGTTTTTCAACAAAAAGAAAAATTTATATTGTTTTATAAAAATTAAATTTTGAAACAAAACTGAAAAATTGCAAATCGAATAACTGAAAAATCGTAAAATTCAATAATGAAAAATCATAACGTTTACAAATGAAAAAATTTTAACATGGAAAAGTTGCAGATCGAAAAACTGAAGAATTTAAAATTGAAAACTCTAAAAATTGCAAATCGAAAAAAAATTTAATTTGAAAACTTGAAATAAAAATCGGAAAACCAAGTCCAGTTAGTTCAAGTCGGGTCAGCTTAAGTCAGTTTAAGTCATGTTGACTCAAGTCAGGTTGGCCTAAGTCAGGTCAGCTCTTATCAAGCCAAGTTAGATCAGTTCATTTCGATTTTTCTAATTTTTCGCATTTTCTATTTTTTGAAACTTTCAATCTTAGTTTTTTGATATTACAACTTTCATTTTTTCAGTTTTCGATTTACAATTTTTAAATTTTTTTTATTTTTTGAAATTATCTATTTTTAGTTTCTCGAACTTTGCAGAATTTCAATTTTTCATTTCTTCAATTTTTTTAATTAAAATTTTTCATGTCCCAGAATTGTTATTTTTCAAATTCTTAATTTTTCATTTTTTATTTTCTCAGGTTTTCATCAAAAAGAAAAATAAATTTATTCAGATTGAAATTTTGAGCAAAAAACCTAAAACATCGAAAAATTTAATACTGAGGCACAAAAATCGAAAAATTGAAAAGATGAAAAATTGAAAATCGGGAAGTTGAAAATATGGAAAGATTGAACAATGAAAAATGATGTCTAAAAATTAAAAAAAAAAAAAAATAACATGCAAAAATTAAAGAATTTAAAATTGAAAACACCACAAATTGGGATTCGAAAAAAATTTTAAATCGAAAACTTAAAAAAAATTGGTCCAAAGAGTTTAGGCAGTACTTCCCTCGCTGTCGGAAACGTGACGACTGCATGCCTATTATGTTTTTTTTCGCATTAGATTCCAAAATATTCAGTTTTGTATTTCTTGATTAAATCAATAAAATAAATTTGCGCATTCATTAAATTTTTTGAGTCACCCTGTATATCCAAATCCAAAAAATATGACTGGAATGATAAATTACGAGAAGAGACTCATCATATTTTGTACATTTTAGATTGGATTTATTTACCAAAATTTCGGCCCAGTACTTTCGGAGATTTTCTGTCTAAAAAAAATCCGGGACGGCAGACAGAGGGGAACGGGAGACCTATTTCTTCGTCTTCTAGGGGTCATGAAAGATCGAGAAAATGTAAAAGTAGAGACTATGCCGACGGACTCGATTACAATACTTCCTTTGCTTACGCTCGGGAAGTAAAAACGGAAAATCCAAAAAATAAAAATTCGAAAAATCCAGAAGACGAAAAATCGAAAAGTCGGAAAAACGAGATATTAAAAATGCAAAAACTGAAAGAAATATCCAACAAATAATTGTGAAATTAAAAATTGGAAAATTGAGAAATCGAAAAATTGTAAAATTGAGAAATCCAAAAACCAAAACGCAAAGTCGATAATTCGAAAAATCGAAAAATGAAGAATCGAAACTTTGATTTCTTTACAAGAAATGAAAAACATGTTTTTGAGTATCGTGTTGTTCAAAGAATACCATGTATATTATGAGAAAAAGGCAAAATATAAACCCCGCCCACCCACCCCATCTCAATTCGGATGATTCTTAAAAACTTAAAACACGTTTAAAATGGTACATTTTTCTCAGGAAATATGGATTTTGCCATTAGGCTCCGCCCCTAGGTCCGCCAACGAATGGAAACTTCATTACAATTTAGATTAAGACAGATGGGTGGGGCTTAATCTTTGACTTTAATTTTTTCTGAATATTCCTTGAATAACACGATACTCAAAAACATGCTTTTAATTTCTCGTAGAGAAATAAAGATTTTGCAGTTAAGCTCCGCCTTCTTGGCTCAAGACGAATAAAAAAATCACAATTGAGACAGGGCGGGTGGGTGGGGCTTATATTTTGGTTTTTGTTTTCGTAATATAAATAGCCATCTTTTCACAACAAGAAACTTAGAACATCGTTAAAATGGTACAATTTTGCAACAAAATATGGATTTTGAAATTAAATTTTCCACTTTAAACATGTTTTAAGTTTCATATAGTGAAAAGAAGTCTATACATTTTAAAACCAAAGGACAAGATGTAAGCCCGCCCACCCGCCCTCTCTCAATTGTGATGATTTTTTTTTTATTCGCCGTGAATCAAGGGGGCGGAGCTCAACTGAAAAATACTTGTTTCTTTACAAGAAATTAAAAACATGTTTTTGAATATCGTGTTGTCCAAAGAAAAAAATATAAACCCCGCCCACGCACCCCATCTCAATCGTGATAATTTTTACTTTTTATAAACTTAAAACAGGTTTAAAATGGAAATATGGATTTTGAAATTAGGCTCCGCCCCTAGGTCTGCCAACGAATGAAAACTTCAATACTATTTAAATCAGGACAGGCATGGATGGGGCTTTAATTTTTTTTTAATATACACAGTATTCCTTGAATAACATGTAAGACATGGGTAATTTCATATCGTAGGGGTCATGAAACGTCGAGAAAAAATAAAGTAAAGATCATCAGAATTGAGATAGGGTGGGTGGGCGGGGCTTATATTTTGCCGTTTTTTTCTTAATATGTGTAGACTTTATTTCAACGTCAACAACAAGTTTATAAATCCCGCTTTAAGGTTGCTACACCTTCCTGTCAAATAGTACCTATTGGTACTTAACCTTAACGCAAAGTGACAGCAACTGTCAAAAACGTCAAAGTCTGGTGATCTGTTTAGTAACTATATTAAAATGCGTTGACACGTTCAAAGCCAACTTGATGCAGATTTATCTAAAAAAATTTTACTTACCGGGAACGAATGTTGGATTTGGAGCAACTTGCTTCGACTGCTGATTTGAAATAGTGGCATTAGAAGAATTCGCTTCCTGGACTATATCTTCTTTAACAACAGAAGTAGATTCTATTTGACTTTCAGAAGAAACTGGTCTAGAATCTGTCGTCGTAGGTTTCACTTCATCTTCACAAGGTTGTGTGTCACTTGAGGAAGAAGATAAGCCTGTTTCTTCAGAAGTTCGTACTTCAACGTCTTTAGATTCTACTTCTTCTATTTCATCTTTATCTTCACACGGTGTTGTGTCACTTGAGGAAGAAGACAAGACTATGTCTGCTTGATTTGAAGAAACTGTTGTCGCTAGTGTTGTAGACATCTCAACTTCTATAACTGCACCAATTTCTTCAACAGAAGATACAGAAAGTGAGTCTGTAACACCTTCTCCTGTTTCTGAAGATATTACAGACACGTCTGCTTGTTTCTCAGTTGAAGAATTGGATTCTACTTCATCCTGAAATACTTCTTCATTTTTTGAAACAGATGAAACACTATCAATGTCTGCTTCGTTGGATGAAGAACTATTTATCAAGAAATTAGTATCATCAGACGGCAGCACTGGTGAATTGTTCTCAGAAGTAGCACTACCTTGATTTTCAAATGAAGCAACAGATTTTACAACCACAGACTCTTCTGTTGTCTGTGAAGAAACGACTGACGCTCTATCGATTTCTTCACTTGAAGAGTTAGAAGCATCAACATCTTGCGGTTTTTGATCTGATTTTGGGGAAGAACTAGTCACGATAGAAGAATCTTCAAGAGTGTGTTTCAATTCTTCAGTTCCACTGTGCTCAGAAGAATCATAAGTAGTTTGGTTGTCACACGAGACAGCAGATTCTACTGAGCTCTCAGTGGGAACGCTCACAGAATTTGGCAGTTCTTCAGTTGAAGATTCAGAAGACACATGTGGCGATTTTGTATCTGCACTTTTCGTTTCATTCTTCTCAGGAGAACCGCTAACAGAATTTTGTATCTTCGTCGTGTCATCTTCACAACTGCGTTCCAATTCTTCAGTCCCTTCCAAACTACTGTCAGCTGCTGCTTTCTCCTGAGAAAAACTAGAAGTAGATTGCTTCTCGGACGAAATCGTGCTAGCTACACACACTTTGCTTCTTTTGGGGGACGAAGTAGTCGAAAAATCTTCATTTTTCCTCTTTAGTACCGCGTCTTGATCGCCATTCAAAAACTTCAATAACCTAGTATAGACAAAATGACAAACCGTCATTTGTAACGGTCCACTAAAGTACACTGAAACCTTGACTGGATACGTTTTCGTGGCCACTATTTGTACTCCGATCCCCCAACTCTTCTGCTCCTTTGCATCACTACGTTGCAAAATGTGCGAACTCACTGCACTTTCTTGATCAATCAAGCTTTTCCCACTACATTCAGCCGAAATTTTCTTCAAAATCGCCGCTCGATTCTCGAGCACACTGACTACACCCTGACACTTGTACCTCGTGGTGGCACTTCCAACCACCGTTTCTTGCACGATTTTCCCACCCAACAAGTCAGTCAAAATCCGAACTGTGACGGTTTTAACCGAGTCTAACCACGCGTCTCGATTCACTTGCGCGGGTCTTGGTAGCGAAAACTTGACATTCTGGACATTGTTAAACATCAACACGTCATACAACATTTTCTTTTCGTTTTGTTGGAGGCGACAAAGCGCGTGTCGACACAGAGTGGCAAAAGTGGCTGCCGTGGAGTACCGAACCGAGGTCGAAAGATTTCTAGTATGCTCAAACGGACACTGAATACACATCCCGGTATCAACTTCCAGTTCACGATCTTGATTCTTGTACAATTCGTATTGTTCCGGGACCGCGAAAGGCTGCAGAAATCGAATTTTAGCAATCGGGGTTCCACAAAATGGTGCCACCACGTACGAAAAATAATCGAAGGATTCGTAGAACTTGAAGAAGCCTTTGACTAAGTCGAGAATCGCCACTTTCGGGAAACTATTCAAATAAAAACCTTTGTATCGACTGATCGCCGTGTTCCAATTGTGTCTGAAAATCGTCGGAATAGATTTTTGGTGGTCTGCCACACAAGGTAACTTATGTTCCACCTGCATGTAAAAAATCACCAACAAGGTGATCAAGTGACCCGTGATACTTTTAATCACGTTGCAACAACGCGCCCAGTGTTTGATTACAGACACAAGAACGCAAAAATCGTCGCAGCCGCTCAAGTAACACGAGAGTAGCTCATGGGTGGCTAAAGCGATTTCGTCTCTAGTGGCAAAAGTAAGACTTTGCTTAGTATGGTTGTGTACACACTTAATGTAGTCGTGTTGGCGCATAATAACGTCAGTGAAGTCGTTACTACCAAGCAGCAGCTGCTCGATTGTTTCCAACGAAGTATTGCACACTTGGATGTTGATGTCGCTGTTGGGGGTGTGCACACCTAGAAGACACGAACCATAAAATAAAATATTGTTGTGGTTCAAAATCGAACGCAAATCGGCTGCAATCCTATTTATTTTGACTTGTAAAGCGGTGTTAGAGGTGCAGAAAGTCGAATAAAAAAAGGATAGCTGAGAGGCGAAAGTCCGGGGGTTTTTTTCAGACAGTTGGATAATGAAAGAGAGGTTGGAATCAGACGGGTTAGTTTTTTCCCACGACGTTTTGTTCGCTATTTCGAGACTTCTGGCGACGTCAGGTCCCGGAGGTTTGTAAAAAGTGACGTAGAGAAAGTGACACATGTGAAATATCAACGGAAAGTCGTTGATCATCGTAAGCCTGATTTCAATCGACTTCTGACTAGTTTTGATTTTTAGGAAAAAACTACCGCACGACTTTTGCGGAAACTTGGTCACTACGTCTGCCGTGACTGCGCATTCTCTGTTAAACGCGTCCGGAGCTTCAGTCACGCTTTTCCTACATTGCATCCGCCTGGTCCACACATCGTGGGTCACCCCACATCGATACCTAGTGGACGTATCAGTCCGGTCGCAAACCACCATACTGCACCCAAAAACTTTAGTAAAAATCTGCTCCACAAAATAAACACTTTCACTAACATCGTTGATGTCGCTTCGAACGGAAAACGACGTCCGCTGGTCGATGATGTAACACTGGAAAAAATTTTCCTCGCTTTCGACTATCAACTGCGACGAAATTCGACAAAGCGTGGCGAACTTTCCACACAAGTACAAATCAGCCGAACACACGTTCACCCGGCTGAAAAAATCATACACACAAAAACCCGACCCAACTGACAAAGTTTTCTCAATCGGGTGACCCAAATACGGCGAAATTATCAGCGAAATGTAGTCAAAACTCCCGTAAAAGTCAAAAAATTGTAGCACCAAGCTACACATCGAGACGTTGCGCAGCTCGAGACTGGTGAACTTGACTTGTTTGAAGGCGCACCCGTCGTTGGGTGGTACCCCGACTTGGAGTTCTTTCACACTCGGCAGTTTGTACCGTCGTTGCAGGAAAAAAATGACCATAATGTAGATGGCGTTGCTTGAAAAACCCTGAATGCCGGTCAAGCGATTATGATCCACCCAGAACCTGACGAAGTACATCAAAGACGAGACGTTGTCGTCTAAATCCAGGTAGTACTTGAGTAGGTTATTTCTGGCTTCTGATAGTCGATCGGTCGTGTTTAAGTCGCAAGTGAGGTTAGTTTCGACGTGCGTGCACCTAATAAAGTCCGTCGTTACGCAAATTTCGGAAAAGAGGTGGCTGTTGGAAATTAGGTGGTGGATTTTGGGGAGGGGGTGCTCGGTCTCGATGTAAATGCCTAAGTTCTCTGACGACAAAAGTCGGAAATTGAAGACCACTTTTTTTGGGGTGAAAGTGGCCAGTGCTGATTTTAAGTCACTTTCTATGGTGGCGCGATTTTGCGCAAACTTGACTTTATTTATGTAACAAGTGGTCCGTATGGAGGTGGCTTGAGTGGCAACGGATGACACGGCTTGAAGACTATTGGCTAAAATATCTGTCGTCGGGTGGTCCGTTACTACAAAGAATCAAAATTAGTATCGATTTTCGGGACGAAATTATATACCTTGTTGTAAGTGTCGCTTAACATCCAGGTCACCATCCAGAGCTTTCATTAAGTGCACATAGAGAAAGTGTCCGATGAAATTAATTCCCGGTACAGGTGGTCCTTTTTTCACACACAGAGTCACCAAGTTCGAATTGTCCACACTAAGTTCCAACTCCAACTCCCACGGGGTCATGCTCTGACTGAACTGCGCATTAACCGCTCTTGTAACGCCAATTTCTCTATCTAAGTCAGTAATACCAGACGGTAAAATCAGTCTTTTAGCTGCGTGAGTCCGGTGTTGGAAAACATTACGCTCTCCCTTACACACCCAAGTAACTAAGGCACCAGTTTCGTACTCACTAAGACTAGAACAATCAACCACGTCTTTTAAAAGTTTCGTTAAGACGACTTTAATACTGTGTAACCACGTTTGCGCATCTTGGGTATCTTTTTTTTCAAGGGTGTGACTTATCCCTGGGAAAGTCTCCCGACGTGTGACCAAAACAGACAAAGATTGGGTTTCTTGTAACGAAAGTAGGGTGTGCCGAACCCGCCTAGTGAAAGCACCTAGACTACAAAGCGTCACATCGATCGTTAAATTTTTATACAGCTGAAACGGATCTTGGACGTCGATACTCGAACTAATGGAGAAGTCCACACTCTGGTCTACGTACTGTCGGTCTGACAAGTCGTACGGTTTCAACAGCCGCGTTTTCTGAACAAGCGAAGCAAAATACGGCGAAATCACGTAATTAACGTAATCGAACGAGTCGTAAAACCGAAAAAACCCGACCACGAGATCCTTTAAGTCGTTTGAGAAAGTTAGTACCGGGGAAGTGTGCACGTCTGGGAATTTATGAACTATTTGTAGATAAAAAATCGCCATTAGAGGAATCGTGAGATTATTCGTAAACCTGTCCTCAAACAAGTCATCCCAGAACTTGATGATAGTCAACAAAGAGGAAATTCGGGGGTCTGAAGACATGTATTGTGTGATCAACCGACTCGTAAGTAAAGCTGAGTTATCGTTGAGGTTTAGGGCGAAATTCGTGTGCGTCGCGACGTGCTCACCGTGGATGACATAGTCGAAAACGCTCGGTCGAGATAATTGGGTGAACTTGTCGCTGCCACGAATCAAACGTTCCACTGTTTCGATGTTTACGCCATCTACATAAATTTGCATCAAGCAGTTGTAACCTGTGATACTCGTTTCGGAAAAATCGAAAACCAACTTCGGGAAGTCGGTTTTTAGGAGTGTTGATAGGTCGGCGATAACTCGGTTGTGGTTTGACAAGATTTGTGCTCTCTGTACGTCTAAGTTTTTTTCAAAAATGGCTGCCTGATTTTCGAATGTTGCGCCATCTTGGATGCCCGGTTCGTGTTCGTTTGTTTTAACTGAAAGCGAGGTTGTGGAAAGTGTAATCGCTGAACTAATTTATTGAATGATAATTTATAGACATAATTGCTTACCAGTGTCTTGTGTGGAAGATTCTTCGTCAATGTCAACTTTAATCGTTTGACTAGTATTCGAAATCATCTCAGTATCGCTATCATTATCTGGTTTGTTCAGATCGATAGAGGACTGAGTTTCTTGATTGACAGTCTTTATTTTCTCTTCTCCTTTGTCTTCACTTTGTTCCGAATTTTTGATCGTCTCGTCATCTTGATCTACTTTGTCTGAAAGTAGAAAATCAGTAATTTCGTCACGTTTTAGCTTATACTGTATTGCTGAGTATTGGTCGACACCGCATGCATGTTGTCCATTCACGATCTTGATAGAGTAAAGTAGGCTTTGATATTTTTTCTTTAAGTTGGATAAACTGATTTGATGATTTAGTCTTTTGTCTGTCATTAGTCTGATTGACATTTGCTAACCGAACATTGAGAAAACGAAAAGTAGGTCAAAAATCGGAAAATATCAAAAATTTGAGAAATTGAAAAACTCAGAAATTGATGATCGAAAAATTGCACAATCAAAAATGGAAAATTTAAAAATTGAACACTGAAACATCGAAAAACTGAAACATTAAAAATCTAATACATAAAATTAAAGAAACGAAAAACTGATAATTCAAAAAATAAAATTTGAGAAACAAACATCTTAATATTGAGACATTTAAAAAACATGAAAATTTTAAAATGTTTAAAAACCGGAAAACGACAAACCGAAAAATGTAAAATAGAACCCAAAAATCTAAAAATTGAAAAATTGTCAAATTAAATATTGAGATTTGAAAAATCGCAAAATTGAAATAAACGAAAAATTAAAATATATATCTAAAAGTCGCAACATTTCAATTCGAGAAAGTAAAAATCGAAAAGCTGCAAAATTGAAAAATAGAAAAATTGCAACAATGAAACTTCGAAATGTTTAAGAACTGATATTGGAAAAATTGAAAACTGAAGAACAGAAAAGTTGAAAAATCCGAAAATTAGAAATTGAGGAACGAAAAATCGCAAAATTGAAAATATAAAAATAAAATAACTAAAAATTAAAAAATTGAAAAATAGTTCAAAAATTGGAAAAAAACTGACAATGAAAAATCGAAAACTTGCAGCATGAAACATCGAATAATTTAAGAATTTGAAAAAGTGAAAATAAATTTATAATTGAAAAATTGAACTTAAAAATTAAAAATAGAGAAACGAAAAATCGCTAAATTAAAAACAACGAACATTAAAATAGCCACAAATGAAAAATCGAGAAAATAAAAATCGAAAACACTAAAAAATTGAGGAATCGAAAATCGAAAAATTGAGAAACTGAAAAATTGAAAATTTGAAGCAACGAGAAACTGAATAATCAAAAATGAAAATCTAACAATGAAACATCAAAGAGCTGAAAAACTAAGAAATCTAATACATAGGTATTTGAAAAATCGAAGAAAAATTAAAGAAACAAAACGTGGCAATATTGAAAAATAAAAAAATTGAAAATATTTAAAAATCAGAAAATTTTAAAAATAAAAAAATCGAAAAATTGCAACAATAAAACAGCGATAAGCTCAGAATTGAAATTGGAAAAATTAAAAATTGATGTATGAAAAATCGTAAATATGAAATCAACGCAAATTAAAATATATCTAAAAATTGGCAAAAAAAAATTTGCATTAGAAAAAGTAAAAATAGAAAAATAGTAGCAATCCAAGATTGAAAAATTTAATCATTGATATTTGAAAAATTGAAAATCGAAGAACAAAAAAATTAAAAAATCGAAAATTCAAAATTGGGAGACGAAAAATCGCAAAATTGAAAACAAAAAATTAAAACACAACTAGAACTGAAAATTTGAAAAATAATTCAAAAATTGGAAAATATCGAAAAAATGCAAAGTTAAAATTTTGATAAGCTTACGATTTCCCGATTTTCACTTTTTCGTTTTTTAAACTTTAAATTTTTCAATTTTCGGCTGTTTTATTTTTCGATTTCTCAATTTTTCAACTTTTCGATATTTTAATTTTTCAATTTTTAAAATTCCAGATTTTTGATTTCTCGAGTTTCGGTTCTTCTTTATTTCAATTTTTCCATTTTCGGGATTTTTAAAATGTTCGATTTTCCATCTTTTTTTTAACTTTTCGATTTTCCAATTTCTCGATTTTTAAATTTAAGATTTTCAACAATGATATAATAGTTGAAGTGAAACACGCTCTCTCCTCGTCTGAAAATTTTAAAATGTTTAAAAACCGGAAAACGACAAACCGAAAAATGTAAAATAGAAACCAAAAATGTAAAAATTGAAAAATTGTTAAATTAAAATATATATCTAAAAATCACTAAGTCGCAACATTTCAATTCGAGAAAGTAAAAATCGAAAAGCTGCAAAACTGAAAAATAGAAAAATTGCAACAATGAAACTTCGAAATGTTTAAGAACTGATATTGGAAAAATTGAAAACTGAATAACAGAAAAGTTGAAAAATCCGAAAATTAGAAATTGAGGAACGAAAAATCGCAAAATTGAAAATATAAAAACAAAATAACTAAAAATTAAAAAATTGAAAAATAGTTCAAAAATTGGAAAAAAACTGACAATGAAAAATCGAAAACTTGCAGCATGAAACATCGAATAATTTAAGAATTTGAAAAAGTGAAAATAAATTTATAATTGAAAAATTGAACTCAAAAATTAAAAATAGAGAAACGAAAAATCGCAAAATTAAAAACAACGAACATTAAAATAGCTACAAATGAAAAATCGAATAATATTAAATCGAGAAAATAAAAATCGAAAACACCAAAAAATTGAGGAATCGAAAATCGAAAAATTGAGAAACTGAATAATCAAAAATGAAAATCTAACAATGTAACACTGAAACATCAAAGAGCTGAAAAACTAAGAAATCTAATACATAGGTATTTGAAAAATCGAAGAAAAATTAAAGAAACAAAACGTGGCAATATTGAAAAATAAAAAAATTGAAAATATTTAAAAATCAGAAAATTTTAAAAATAAAAAAATCGAAAAATTGCAACAATAAAACACCGATAAGCTCAGAACTGAAATAGGAAAAATTAAAAATTGATGTATGAAAAATCGTAAATTTGAAATCAACGCAAATTAAAATATATCTAAAAATTGGCAAAAAAAAATGTTGCATTAGAAAAAGTTAAAATAGAAAAATAGTAGCAATCCAAGATTGAAAAATTTAATCATTGATATTTGAAAAATTGAAAATCGAAGAACAAAAAAATTAAAAAATCGAAAATTAAAACTTGGGAGACGAAAAATCGCAAAATTGAAAACAAAAAATTAAAACACAACTAGAACTGAAAATTTGAAAAATAATTCAAAAATTGGAAAATATCGAAAAAATGCAAAATTAAAAATTTGATAAGCTTACGATTTCCCGATTTTCACTTTTTCGTTTTTTAAACTTTAGATTTTTCAATTTTCGGCTGTTTTATATTTCGATTTCTCAATTTTTCAACTTTTCGATATTTTAATTTTTCAATTTTTAAAATTCCAGATTTTTGATTTCTCGAGTTTCGGTTCTTCTTTATTTCAATTTTTCCATTTTCGGGATTTTTAAAATTTTCGATTTTCCAATTTTTCGATGTTTCGATTTTTCAATGATTCGATTTTTCAATTTCTCGTTTTTAAATTTAAGATTTTCAACAATGATATAAAAGTTGAAGCGAAACATGCTCTCTCCTCGTCTAAAAATAGAATTTCCTTCGAAGAATTAACGATTAACCTCATTTTTCCAGAAAAATTGTATAATCAAAAATGAAAAATAGAAAAATTAAAAATTGAGAAACCGAAAACCGCAAAATTGAAAACAACGAAGAATTAAAATAACCGAACATTGAGAAAACGAAAAGTAGTTCAAAAATCGGAAAATATCAAAAATTTGAGAAATTGAAAAACTCAGAAATTAGATGATCGAAAAATTGGAAAATCGAACACCGAGAAATTGTATAATCAAAAATGGAAAATTTAAAAACTGAACACTGAAACATTAAAAATCTAATACATATTCGAAAAATCGCAAAATTAAAAAATTGAAAACTGAAAAATTGCAAAAATGAAATATCGAAAAGTTCAAAAATTGAAATTCGAAAAATAGAAAATCGACAAATTGAGAAATGTAAAACTCTAAAAACTGCAAAATCAAAAATTAAAAAATGAGAGACGAAAAATGGCAAAAATGAAAACAACGAAAAATTAAAATACCTTAAAATTGAAAAGCCGAAAAATCTGAAAAAGTGAAAAACCGAGAAATTAAATAATCGAAAAACTGAAAAGTCGGAACACCGAAAAATTATATAATCAAAAATGAAAAATCGAAAAATTAGAAATTGAGAAAAAGAAAACCGCAAAATTGAAAACAACGAAAAATTAAAATAACCCAACATTGAGAAAACGAAAAGTAGTTAAAAAATCGAAAAATATCAAAAATTTGAGAAATTGAAAAACTCAGAAATTAGATGATCGAAAAACTGGAAAATCGAACACCGAGAAATTGTATTTTCAAAAATGGAAAATTTAAAAATTGAACACTGAAACATCGAAAAACTGAAACATTAAAAATCTAATACATATTCGAAAAATCGCAAAATCAAAAAATTGAAAACTGAGAAATTGCAAAAATGAAATATCGAAAAGTTCAAAAATTGAAATTCGAGAAATAGAAAATCGACAAATTGAGAAATGTAAAAATCTAAAAACTGCAAAATCAAAAATTAAAAATTGAGAGACGAAAAATGGCAAAAATGAAAACAACGAAAAATTATAAAGTGATAAAACGAAATATCACAAAATTCAAAACAACGAAAAATTAAAATATCTAAAAATTGAAAAGGCGACAAATCTGAAAAAGTGAAAAACCGAGAAATTAAATAATCAAAAAACTGAAAAGTCGGAACACCGAAAAATTGTATAATCAAAAATGAAAAATCGAAAAATTAAACACTGAGAAACGGAAAACCGCAAAATTGAAAACAACGAAAAATTAAAATAACCGAACATTGAGAAAACGAAAAGTAGTTCAAAAATCGGAAAATATAAAAAATTTGAGAAATTAAAAAACTCAGAAATTAAATGATCGAAAAATTGGAAAATGGAACACCGAGAAATTGTATTATCAAAAATGGAAAATTTTATAATTGAACACTGAAACATCGAAAAACTGAAACATTAAAAATCTAATACATATTCGAAAAACCGCAAAATCAAAAAATTGAAAACTGAAAAATTGCAAAATTAAATATCGAAAAGTTCAAAAATTGAAATTCGAGAAATAGAAAATCGACAAATTGAGAAATGTACAAATCTAAAAACTGCAAAATCAAAAATTAAAAATTGAGAGACGAAAAATGGCAAAAATGAAAACAAGGAAAAATTATAAAGTGATAAAACGAAATATCACAAAATTCAAAACAACGAAAAATTAAAATATCTTAAAATTGAAAAGCCGAAAAATCTGAAAAAGCGAAAAACCGAGAAATTAAATAATCGAAAAACTGAAAAGTCGGAACACCGAAAAATTGTATAATCAAAAATAAAAAATCGAAAAATTAAAAATTGAGAAACGGAAAACCGCAAAATTGAAAACAAGGAAAAATTAAAATAACCGAACATTGAGAAAACGAAAAGTAGTTCAAAAATAGGAAAATATCAAAAATTTGAGAAATTGAAAATCTCAGAAATTAAATGATCGAAAAATTGGAAATTCGAACACCGAGAAATTGTACAATCAAAAATGGAAAATTTAAAAATTGAACACTGAAACATCGAAAAACTGAAACATTAAAAATCTAATACGTATTCGAAAAATCGCAAAATCAAAAAATTGAAAAATGAAAAATTGCAAAAATGAAATATCGAAAAGTTCAAAAATTGAAATTCGAGAAATAGAAAATCGACAAATTGAGAAATGTAAAAATCTAAAAAAACTGAAAAATCGAAAATTAAAAATTGAGAGACGAAAAGTGGCAAAAATGAAAACAACGAAAAATTATAAAGTGATAAAACGAAATATCACAAAATTCAAAACAACGGAAAATTAAAATCTTATAATTGAAAAATGGAAAAAATGACATATTATCCTGTGAAAAAAAAGGGGGCGGGTGGGCGGTACTACTACTTGGTAAGATAAGACTGATTTTGGCAAATCACATATTCTCTAAAAAAGTAAAGGGTGGGTGGGCGGGGCTAGTACCTGCTAAAATAAAACTGATTTTGGCAAATCACATATCCTCTAAAAGAGTAAAGGGTGAGTGGGCGGGGCTAGTACTTGGTAAGATATGACTGATTTTGGCAAATGACATATTCTCCAAAAAAGGAAAGGGTGGGTGGGCGGGGCTAGTACCTGCTAAGATAAAACTGATTTTGGCAAATCACATATCCTCTAAAAGAGTAAAGGGTGGGTGGGCGGGGCTAGTACCTGGTAAGCTATGACTGATTTTGGCAAATGACATATTCTCTGGGAAAATAAGGGGCGGGCATAGTACTTGTTAAGATAAAAGTGATTTTGGCCCTGTTAATTTTGTAAAAACTTGTGAAATTTAGGTGTTAAATTGCAAATTTCCATAGTGGCCATGAAGTTCTTAGATTACCTCCGTACTATTGTCAATATAATCCAATTGAAATGGCGTGGGGATTTTGTAAGAACTATTACAACAAGCATATAAATTCTCAACCTTGATTAAAAAATAGGGTGGAGAATTTATGGTTTGAGGCGCTTTCTAAATGTACTCCAAGCATGTGTACCTCCTTTCATTATTTCGCTAGGTGAATCTGATTCAGAATCTGAGTTTGAAAATGACGATGATGATACAGATTTTCATAGCGAAATAATGCAAATGGAGTGAATTGTAGCTTGTCGGGGGGTGATAATTTTACGCATCTTTCGTTCTAAATTTACCAAGGTAGTATGTGAAAAACTACCTGACGCACAACAAAATAAGTATAATTTTAGTTAGATCATCCACGTTGTTACTTTGCACCAAACTTTAAGCATTTTCATTTTTTTTTTGTAACTCTTCATGGACCTGGAGAAGGCGTATAGTAACGTTCTTATTAATAAGCGTTTGGAAGTACTTAGCAAAAGCAAATAAAGAGCACTTACGTAAGCATTAGTAATAAATAATAATAAATAATAATTAGTAAATAATATAAATAAAATAATATAAATAAATAATTCAATTTAGGGCTGGAAAATGTTTCAGAAGAGCTAAACCATCAAAGCACTAGAGCAAGGTTGTTGTCTTTTACCAACCCTTTTAGTAAACTTAGAAAAGTGAAAAAAGAAGTCGGAACGAACTGATAATAATTGAGAATTAAAGATGAGATGCTAAATGTGGCATGGGACAATAGTCGTATGCAGAACCCCCATTCATATAAAAACAATGTTTAAGTGAAATTTTAGTGTTTGTTCCTTACGTATGAAATAAACACTTACAAAAAGCCGAATAACTGTTTTAAATAGCGTAAAGTTTTATGCTTTCTAAGAAATGGATACCGTTAGCTTGGTCACTGCTACTGAAAACTGAAAGTATCGGCCACAATGTCTATATTTCTGGCAAATTTTTTAACCTTTAATTTAATAAAACATAACCTAACGAAAAAAGTTCAGGGAATTTTTATTCTTCTGCATCGAATACCAACAAACTCACTAGATTTTCATGGCCAACCCTACTATACAAAAATCGTGAACGGATAATAGTATAGATTGTAATATTGTCACAATAAACTTAAACTTACCAATTGGGTCATCCTTAGCTAGAGGCATTTCAACATCTGAATCGTCCACACATATTTCGAGTTTGCGATTCAGCATCTCCAATAATCTAACGTATACAAAATGCTGAATGTCCAAAATCAGAGGTAGATTTTCTTCATCCTTAAAACTAATACTGACTCTAGACGGATTTGTGTCAAATTTTAACGAAACTGCCATTTTCCAGGTTGCCTCTTTGGAAGAATTGTTCACTATATGCGAACTCACAGCCACTTCTCTTTCAACAGTGTTCATTTTTCTATCAACAGGAAGATTTTTCAAAGTCTGAACTCTATCGTCCCAAACATTAAAATCTCCACTACAATCATAACAAACCCCAGTTTCTTCAATCTTCTCAACAATATCACAGCGACAAATCCGTGTCAAAATCGTCGAAACGAGAGATTTAATTACTCCTATCCATTCGTGTTCATCACAGAAGTCGTCATTAATAACAGAAAACTCATTTAAATCCTCGTCTGACGCTAACAACTTAAACAATATTCCTTTGGCATTTGAGCGCGCTAATTCTAAAGACTTTCTACACACAGCCGTGAATCTCGCAACGGATGATAAATCAACCGAAAGGGAGACATTTTTCGAATGCTCGAACACGTCCTGAACACAAATTCCAGAATTCACTACGAAAACCTTGTCCGAGTTTACAAAGTTTTCAAAACAGTCCGGGAGTTCGTACGGTTTCAGAAAACCAATCTTTTCAATCGCTGAACCCCAATATGGTGATAGCACCGTCGACGCGTAGTCGAATTTGCTATAAAACTCCAAAAAACCGACCATCAATTCAAAAATTGTCGCGTTTTCGAGACTCGAACTCGTAAATTCGACCGGACCGAAAGCACAGTTCCAGCCGTCGACTTCATCCGGTGGTAAGTCCGTCTGCAAGTCCGCCACAGAAGGTAAATTGTAAGGGTCTTGTTGGAGGTAGAACAGTACCATCAAACAAATCGCGTAACTGGACAAACCATTTTCGTGTCTGAGGCCACAACAATCGAGCCAAAATTTTATCAACACAATCAAGGGTTTGAGTTTCTCGTCGAGCATTAAATAGAATTTTATTAATTCGGTGTTACCAACCGGCAGCTCGTTTTTAATACTGACTTGACAGAAAATTTTAGTCTTTTTGTGCTCGAATTTAACCACTGGAGAGTCGCCATCAAGACACAACGAAACCCGTTCGAAAAATTCGCTTCGCTCGATTAGCTCTTTGATACACTCCAGTGTCGCCAACTGCGAGTCAGTATTATCGAGGTAAATGTTTAAATCACTGTCGTGGATATCCAAATCTGTGACTCTCGAACCAAAAAAATGGATCATGCTGTGCGGGAAATGCGAAACTAAAGCGGCGGTTAAATGGTCGTAGATAATTTTCTTGAATGAGTCCAAGTCGGGTCTGGGGATTTTAACTTTGTTTAGTAGGAGGGTTAGCTGCTCGTCGAAATTTGACAGTTCGTTAAGACTATTTAAAATGGCGATTTTTCGGTAGACAAATTTTTCTGAAAAACGTAAACACGGTTGGCACATGCGCAAAGCGAGTGTTGGTGCTGTTTTTACGGGTCATGAAAAACTTACCTTTGCGCATTCTCTCGTCTGGAAGCACGTGTTCAAGGTTACCTGATTTGGCTTTTTTGAACCAGCTGATTTCCAGTTCGTTGTCAAAAAGGGCGTGCTCTTGGTGGATAATTTCCGAATAATCTCTCGCATTCCAAAATCTATACTCTATGGAAACTTCGAGGCCGTTAGTCGTTACGTTTTGGCCCCGCACGCCCCCGAATTTCACGAAATACTCGAAAACTTTGTGAATTTCGTCCTGTTTGAATGGTCCTAGAGGGATAAATGTGTTAAAATTGCACAAACCATGGTAATGAATGTACCTTTGACCACGATTTTGGCCGGCAGTTCTTGTAAGTGCCGTTTTTGTGTGATGTGAGACTTCCATTCTGTTGCAGCAACAGGTTGGAGACACAGTTTACAAAATATCTTCACCATGGTGTTTTGGGTTTTAGTTTAAAGTCGGAAAATAACTGCAACACTTCACATTTTACACGTGTTGCGAAATTCGCACACCGCAAACAAGTAAGAACTAAAAACTAAACAATAACAAGCATGTCTACATTGTGGTGGGGTTATTACTAAAAGTCACGTGACAAAAATTTCAAATCTAGTTACTTTTTGCGAAAGTCCCTAGACGCCGTTGTGACAGTCTTGGTGATATTTGGTTTCTGTTGTGTCAACAATTCAAACCCGTAAACCCATTTATCAGTTTTAATGTGGTTTTAATTAGTGAACACCACATTTTAACTGTCATTATGGGTTTTGGTATTTCTCGTTTAAACATTAATAACCCATTACAACAAATTGGCAATTTGTTATCACCTCATTAATGAACTGAATGAATAAAAACATAATCGTATATTTATTATAATCTTATTTACACAACATTCTCTATATACATTTATAATAAACTAAACATAAAAATAATGCAAAAATAAACTCCAACATTTACCCACAAATCAAACTGTCAAAACTGAAAATCACTTATCCACCGCATCTGACAAGGCTTTCTTCAGTGCTTCTAAGGCTTCAGTAACTTTGTCTACGGCCCTCTGGTTTTCTTTGTCTCCAAATTTTCCCTCTATACCCCCTTTCTGAAGAACCTTACACAGAGCATCAGAGTATGGATCCTTGACGGGTCGCTCCGGCAGCGACGTAAACCTAAACCTAAGCGCCAACGCTGTCCTCAACGGCGACTGATATTTTCGTTGCTTTGGAGGCGCGTTTTGCCTGATTAGGCGCCCCTGATCAGGCTTGAGAAACTTAATTATGTCTTGGCAATGGCACAGTACTAAAAAGCACAGCTTCCTAATTCCGAGTCTCTAGAGCTGCGTGCTTACCTTTTACTTTCTCCCGAAGGTGCTTTAAACTCGTGGAACTTGAAGCTAAAAAGCGTGAACACAATAAAACTTTAAATTTCACCACCTGGGGAGACTTTTGGTGTATCAGATGGCGCTGTTAAAAAAATATTGAAACATTTGTGTGACTTGACCGCCACGTGAAAAACTAAAGCCCCCTAGAGTTACAAATTTAGTCATTAACAGTCATTTAAAAACACACCTTTGGGAGTAGCAGCAGTCATTAAATAATCAGTAAGCGAAAGTCGCCCCTCCTTGAGCAGCTGTAAAAAACGTGAACGTCTGACAACGGAAAAACCAAAATTATGACATTACTTTAACCAAATCTTCTTCCGGATTTTTGTTGAAAGGCGCAGTTTTTGGCGATGGGGTGGCGATGGGAGGCGATATTAGTTGTGGTCGGAATACTGGTTGTGGGTAAAACGCTTGGGTTGGATTGGCATTACCAACAAAAGCAGTGTTGTCATAAATTTGGACTTTCACAGGATGCTGGGAGTGCGCAGGAGGGATCGAGAGAGAAATGTGAGGCGTAGGCATTGGTTGTACTGGTCGAACTTCATTGATCTTCCTTTTGATTTCCTCCAGCAGGGCGTTCTGGAGTTGTAGCCTAGTTCTAGCGTCATCGCTGCTCGAACTGGGCTTCCTGCGACGATAGTCCGAGCTTCTTCGTCGCTTCTGGTCGCAGGGTGAAGGAGTCCGACTTCGGGGCCTAGTTGAATTCGTTCTTGTTGGAGTCCTAGCGCGTCTTCTAGGGCGATATTCACGACTCTCGCTCCTTTTTCCTCGTTTCGGGGTACTAGGTGAGACGTTATAGACAATTTTCGGTTTTGTTGGTGTCCTGTGTCTTCTAGACCGGTATTCAGGACTGTCTTTCCCACGGGACCTCTTCATACTTCTGTCACGCGATTTAGATCGAGACCTTGACTTACTGCGCATGCGTGGCTTAACTTTACGAGGTTCGTTCGTCAGTGATTTTTCCTTATCAGATTCACTCGATACTTTATCACTAGTGGATTTGTCGTCACAAGCGTCCACGATCTCTAAACCATCCAGAAAGTCCTCGTTCGCAAAATCGTCAAAGAAGTCAGACGGAACATCGTCGTCTTCCTCTTCATAAACGTTACTTCTTTTTCTTTTACGACTTGGAGTGTCTTTGTGCTTGGTGTCTTCTACATCTGGTGTTTCCTCGTTTTTAGTTTCGTCGAGAATAATTGTGTCACTAGTATCTGGTGGTTTTTCTTCTGTTTCTATTTTGCCTGTGTTTACTTCAATTTCACTACAGTCACTAGTTTCGGGTTGTACCTTAACATCACCATCGTCGGTTAAATCTATTACAACAACCTCTTCAGCTTCTAAAACCAGAGACGACTAAACTTTGACCACTCTAGAACCCGTACTAAACTTACCTAAGTCACACTCCTCGACTTCCACCACATCCAGACAATCCTCCACGTTATCCAAAAACTTCCCCAACCTAGTGTACAGAAAGTGACAAACGTGGTAGACATTAAAACCCGGATTCAATTTAAAAACGACCTTCACACCACACGGCTCTGTCGTGAAAATCAAATCCACAAACAACCTCCAAGTCACTTCTTCCGGATGGCCTATGATAACTTGCGTAGTGACAGCTGCTTCTTTTTCGACCCCTCGAAGCCTCGACATTCCTAAAGTCTTCATCGCCTTGATGCGGCTATCCCAGACGTTGTTTTGTCCCACACACTCAAAACCAGTGGGTTTTGTCGACAACTTATAGTTCAAAACGTCTGATAAAATTTTCGCCGTGAGAGTCTGAGTAGTTTGAACCCACTCCACTTCGTCACGATAGACTTTTTTAGTGATTTGGAATTCCGGGTTGTCGAAAATGCTACGTTGCGCGATTAGCATAAGTTCACCCAGGAGAAACTTCTTTGGCGAGTTTAAAACTTGGAGTGATTTTCTGCAAACATGGGTGAAGCGTCCCATGCAATCTAGGGTGGCAGAATTCGTAAGGTTGAGACTGTGTTGGAAGAAGTCTTGAACGAAAACACCCGAAGTCACACTAAGATCGTTTCCATGTGTTCTGAAATAGTTAAAACCGGGTGGAAGCGCGTAAGGTTTCAAAAAACGTATTTTCTGGACAGGTGAACCAAAGTATGGTGATATCACGTACGTGACGTAGTCAAAATTCGAATAAAATTTGAAAAAGTCGCTCAATAAATCTAAAATTGGGGTATATTTCAAAACCGAGTTAGTGAATTCGGGGATTTCGGCGTAAGCACAGTTCCAACCGTCCACGATTTGAGGACTAGCACTACTTTGTAGATTTTTAACTGAAGGCAAGCTGTATGGTCCTTGTTGCAGGTAAAAAATGACCAGTAGGGAGACAGCGTCGTCTGAAAACGCATCCGCCAAGTCGTAATAGTCCACCCAGTACTTAAGTAAAAGCACCAACTTAGGGACCTTACTATCTAAACTTAAGTAATATTGAATCAAACGGTGGCGACTTGTCACGAGTGTGTTTCTGATTCGTAAATCACACTTGACTTTCATTTGGTCATGCTGACAAGTAATAAAGTTATTGGGTCGAGGAGCATAGGAAACAAAGCTGAACTTTGGACTTGTATTCAGCAAATGTTTCGCGACTTTTAACGCTGCGTCAGTTACGTTTTCTATATACACCTCTAAATTGCCACCAATATTAGGACCTAGGGAGACATTACTGGACCCAAACTCGTCTGACAAAACAGTGCGAAAGTCGCTCAGAATAGTTTGGTACTTTTTTTCGATTTTTTCTTCCCGGGAATTAACCCGGTTCCATAACCTGTTCACTTGTTGCTCGAAAGTCGAGCACTTCACCGTGCTGTAAATAATCGATAGTTTGCGGTCTTCAAACGTCACTACAAAAAACAAAAAAGCGTGAGTTAGTGTTAGTCAGTCGTAGCGATACTCACGAGTTGGTATTGTCGCACTTAAAGCGACAAGTGGAACTATTTTCAACTTGTAACCGAAAAGACAATGCTCTTTTTGTATAACTTGAAAATAAACGTCAGACTCTGCGAAACAATACTCCACTGCAAGGTTTTTCTCCTGTCCTAGGACCTTCACGTCCACGATTTTGCCAAACTTTGAAAAATAGTCGTGGACTCGGCAGATTTGTGCGTACGTGAATTTACCTACAAGATTTTTCAATAAGTTATATAAAAAAAAAAACAAAATTGTGACGTGTACCTTTCACTAGGATTTTGTAAGACTCGCAGACCTTAGTAGCGGACTTTGAGTGCTCACGTATCGGGCTTGTCTGCAAAGGACTGTGTATTTGCCTCTTTAGTTCCGCCACACACACCCCCTCCACGATCCTCGTGTACAAAAAATGGTTGAAATGTGACAAATTTGGCTGCAATATTGTGACCCTCACACTGGTCGGATTTGTCAAAAACACCACCTTTATTGTCAAATCGAACTCGCAGTTTCGTTGATTGTCGTTCTTTATGACGCTTGAAACAAACAAGTCCATGTTGAAACAACTAGACGGTGTGTCAGGTTGCCACGATTTTAAAATAGCAATTCGGTCCGACCATATTTCTTTCGTTCCTCGACACACTATTGTGGTTTGTTCTTTTTCCTGGGGCTTGTCTTTGACAGGGGGTACCCTGCTCAATGTACTCTCTTGCACGTCAATAACCTCACAACACAGTATTTTTGTAATTATGGTGAATAGCACGTTTTTGACGGTCTGTTTCCAGGTTTGTTCCTCAAAAGTTGGTTTTTTCACGATTTCGACTGCTTCGATGTTGTTACATTGTACCATCAGTCTGTGTAGGAGTTGTTTTTCGGACGGGTCGACTTCAACAACGCCTCGACACAGTGTTGAGAATTTACCAACACACTGGATGTTTTTAGAATCCGCGATATTTTCGGTGTGTTGGAACGGGTCCTGGACCCAGGTACCGAAACCCAAAGTCATAGTAAAACCCGACTTAACCAGTAAGTCGTAGCAAGGTGGTAAATCAAAAGGTTTGACAAAGCAAACTTTGGGGATCGCTGAACCCGAATAGGGTGCAACTACGTTATAATAAAAGTCGAAAGTCGAATAAAATTGAAAAAAACCAAAAACTAAGTCGTTGATGGTGGCAGCTTCCAAAGCTTGACTAGTAAATTTCAAAGGTACGAAAGCAACATTCCAGTCACCAACTAACTCCGGATTTGCTCTCTCCTGGAGATTACTAACCGACGGAAAGTAATACGGTTCTTGTTGGAGGTAAAAAATTACCATTAAATACAAACCGTACTTAGACAAATTAGCATTCTCTTTCACGTTGTTGAACTCCCACCAACACTTAATCACGAAGAACAACTGACGCACCTTGGGGCTCAAAGACACGTAATATTCAACCAGGCGACTCCTGCTGGTCAGTAGTTCCTCGTTTATGTACACGTGACAGTTGACTTTCGTTTCCGTGTGTCTACAATGAACGAAAGACTTAAGTCGGGCAGGTTTTTCGAATTTCGAATTGGCAACTAGGGCGTCTACGATGGTTTTTGTGAGTTTGTTTCGTGGTGAGTTGGAGGTCACGTGGATGTCGAAGCTGCCACCTTCCGTCACCAACCCCGTTACTGAAGAACCGAAGAAGAAAATTTTTTTGTAGGGGGCTTTAAACACGAGCGCGTTCTTTAAATCGCGCTCGATGACGCACTGACGGGCTTGGGTGGTTTTTTCGTCCTGGAGTAATTTCGTGCAGAAGTGTGAAGTTTGTGCGGCGAAAGTGGGCAAGTTTTGGGTTTCTTGGAGGATGGCGAGTTTGGGTTGGTCTGCAAGAATTAGGGGTTAGTTAAGACGTGTAACGGGTGTCTGGACAATGGCGGATTAAGCTTCAAAATTTGTAAAGTGCTTAGTTTTGTAAAATCCGCTGCATTTTTTAAATTATATTTTAAGAAAAAATGAACAGTTTGAATTTAAAAAAAATTAAAATTAATGACAAACTGGTGATTGCAAGTTTTCAGTAGCAATAACCACGTTAACGGTATCCATTTCTTAGAAACAGTTATTCGGCTTTTTGTAAGTGTTTATTTCATTTGTAAGAAACAAACGCTAAAATTTCACTTAAACATTGTTTTTATATGAATGGGGCCATTTCAATTGGATTATATTGACAATAGTACGGAGGTAATCTAAGAACTTCATGGCCACTATGGAAATTTGCAATTTAACACCAAAATTTCATAAGTTTTTATAAGATTAACAGGGCCAAAATCAGTTTTATCTTACCAAGTACTAGCCCCGCCCACCCACCCTTTACTTTTTTTTGAGGATATGTCATTTGCCAAAATCAGTTTTATCTTAGCAGGTACTAGCCCCGCCCACCCACCCTTTACTTTTTTAGAGGATATATGATTTGCCAAAATCAGTCTTATCTTACCAAGTAGTAGGCCCGCCCACCCGCCCCCTATTTTTTCACAGGACATGTCATTTTTTCCATTTTTCAATTTTAAGATATTTTAATTTTTCTTTGTTTTCAATTTTGTGATATTTCGTTCTATCACTTTATAATTTTTCGTTCTTTTCATTTTTGCCATTTTTCGTCTCTCAATTTTTAATTTTCCGATTTTTCAGTTTTTAGATTTTTACATTTCTCAATTTGTCGATTCTCTATTTCTCGAATTTCAATTTTTGAACTTGTCGATATTTCATTTTTGCAATTTTTCAGTTTTCAATTTTTCGATTTTTCGAATATGTATTAGATTTTTAATGTTTCAGTGTTCAATTTTTGAATTTTCCATTTTTGATTATACAATTTCTCGGTGTTCGATTTTCCAATGTTTCGATCATCTAATTTCTGAGTTTTTCAGTTTCTCAAATTTTTATATTTTCCGATTTGAACTACTTTTCGTTTTCTCAATGTTCGGTTATTTTAATTTTTCGTTGTTTTCAATTTTGCGGTTTTCCGTTTCTCAATTTTTAATTTTTCGATTTTTCATTTTTGATTATAGAATTTTTCGGTGTTGCGACTTTTCAGTTTTTCGTTTATTTAATTTCTCGGTTTTTCACTTTTTCAGATTTTTCGGCTTTTCAATTTTTAGATATTTTAGTTTTTCGTTGTTTTCAATTTTGTGATATTTCGTTTTATCACTTTATAATTTTTCGTTGTTTTCATTTTTGCCATTTTTCGTCTCTCAATTTTTAATTTTTGATTTTGCAGTTTTTAGATTTTTACATTTCTCAATTCGTCGATTTTCTATTTCTCGAATTTCAATTTTTGAACTTTTCGATATTTCATTTTTGCAATTTTTCAGTTTTCTATTTTTTGATTTTGCGATTTTTCGAATATGTATTAGATTTTTAATGTTTCAGTTTTTCGATGTTTCAGTGTTCAATTTTTAAATTTTCCGTTTTTGATTATACAATTTCTCGGTGTTCGATTTTCCAATTTTTCGGTCATCTAATTTCTGAGTTTTTCAGTTTCTCAAATTTTTGATATTTTCCGATTTTTGAACTACTTTTCGTTTTCTCAATGTTCGGTTATTTTAATTTTTCGTTGTTTTCAATTTTGCGGTTTTCCGTTTCTCAATTTTTAATTTTTCGATTTTTCATTTTTGATTATACAATTTCTCGGTGTTCCGACTTTTCAGTTTTTCGATTATTTAATTTCTCCGTTTTTCACTTTTTCAGATTTTTTGGGTTTTCAATTTTAAGATATTTTAATTTTTCGTTGTTTTGAATTTTGTGATATTTCGTTTTATCACTTTATAATTTTTCGTTGTTTTCATTTTTGCCATTTTTCGTCTCTCAAATTTTAATTTTTCGATTTTGCAGTTTTTAGATTTATACATTTCTCAATTTGTCGATTTTCTATTTCTCGAATTTCAATTTTTGAACTTTTCGATATTTCATTTTTGCTATTTTTCAATTTCTCAAATTTTTGATATTTGCCGATTTTTTAACTACTTTTCGTTCGGTTATTTTAATTTTTCGTTGTTTTCAATTTTGCGGTTTTCCGTTTCTCAATTTTTGATTTTTTGATTTTTTATTTTTGATTATACAATTTTTCGGTGTTCCGACTTTTCAGTTTTTCGATTGTTTAATTTGTCGGTTTTTCACTTTTTCAGATTTTTCGGCTTTTCAATTTTAAGGTACTTTAATTTTTCGTTGTTTTGAATTTTGTGATATTTCGTTTTATCACTTTATAATTTTTCGTTGTTTTCATTTTTGCCATTGTTCGTCTCTCAATTTTTAATTTTTGATTTTGCAGTTTTTAGACTTTGACATTTCTCAATTTGTCGGTTTTCTATTTCTTGAATTTCAATTTTTGAACTTTTCGATATTTCATTTTTGCAATTTTTCAGTTTTCAATTTTTTGATTTTGCGATTTTTCGAATATGTATTAGATTTTTAATGTATCAGTGTTCAATTTTGAAATTTTCCATTTTTGATTATACAATTTCTCGGTGTTCGATTTTCCAATTTTTCGATCATTTAATTTCTGAGTTTTTCAATTTCTCAAATTTTTGATATTTTCCGATTTTTGACCTACTTTTCGTTTTCTCAATGTTGGGTTATTTTAATTTTTCGATTTTTCATTTTTGAATATACAATTTTTCGGTCTTCCGACTTCTCAGTTTTTCGATTATTTAATTTCTCCGTTTTTCACTTTTTCAGATTTTTCGGTTTTTCAATTTTTAGATATTTTAGTTTTTCGTTGTTTTGAATTTTGTGATATTTCGTTTTATCACTTTATAATTTTTCGTTGTTTTATTTTTGCAATTTTTCGTTTCTCAATTTTTAATTTTTCGATTTTGCAGCTTTTAGATTTTTACATTTCTCAATTTGTCGATTTTCTATTTCTCGAATTTCAATTTTTGAACTTTTCGATATTGCATTTTTGTTTTCAATCTTGCGGTTTTCCGTTTCTCAATTTTTAATTTTTCGATTTTTCATTTTTGATTACACAATTTTTCGGTGTTCCGGCTTTTCAGTTTTTCGATTATTTAATTTCTCGGTTTTTCACTTTTTCAGATTTTTCGGCTTTTCAATTTTTAGATATTTTAGTTTTTCGTTGTTTGCAATTTTGTGATTTTTTTGTTTATCAGTTTTTAATTTCTAAGTTGTTAAATTTTTCGAATTCTTTTCGATGTGTCATTGTTACAATTTGTCGATTTTTCAATAGTTTGTTTTTTCGATTTTCTCCCATTTTTGAACAATTTTTCGATTTTTCAATTTTTGGTTGTTTTAATTTTTATATGTCATTTGCCAAAATCACTCTTATCTTACCAAGTACTAGCCCCGCCTTTTTTTTAAATATACGTAGTGTTCTTTTCCCAACAAGAAACTGAAATCAGACTACTGACAGACAAAAAACTAAATTATCAAATCAGTTTATCCAACTTAAAGAAAAAATATCAAAAGCTACTTTACTATATAAAGATGTGGATAATCTGTCAGTCGTGTCTGCTCTCTTAAAAACGATATATTCTGTCAAGGCACTCTAGTTCTAGGTATTCCTGTTTGGAAAGAATTTGAAAGTGCTTTGGAGCCTCAAGTGTCTTTTCTTATAATTAATTTCATTAAATTTCTTAGAAGATACGTCATTTGCTAAAATTTACCTTATCTTAGCAGGTACTAGCCCCGCCCACCCACCCTCTCTTTTCTTACAGGATAAGTCATTGCCAAAATCAGTTTTATTTAATGGATTTTTCTTTTGTTGGTTTTGTTTTTGTTTGTAATTTTTAAATGTTTTATTAAATGTTTTTTTTTGGTTTATTTATTAATGAAAAATAACAGCTTGTTTTATTAATAATAATGCTCAATGACTACTGGTTGTTATGGTTATTCTCCTAAAAAAATTGGTCGAAGATTACTTCGACAGAACCTCCCTCGCCCATAAAGTATAGCTTGTCAAAACCAGCTCTTTCGAAAAATTAAAAGATTTGACAGACGTACTGAAGAGTTGATCCGCCATTTTCCAGACACCCAGACAATTCTTAAAATATGTTACTTACCAGAATCAGATGCTGAAGTAGGCGTTGAATCAGTCGAAACTACAGTCTTTTTTTTCGACGAATCTTTGGCGGAAAGCGATATTTTAATCGGGATTTTTTTAAATTCGGACTGCGTTTCACTTGGAGACAAAATCGAAGTCTGCATTTTATCGTCACTTAGAGAAAGTGAAGAACCGGCTTCTACCCCTTCCATAGAAGGCGCAGGCGGTGATTTCTTCTTCTGTTCTTCTGACGACGGCAAAGCATCTTCACAAGTTCGCTTCACTTCGTCACTTGAAAATTTAGACCCACCAGACACAGGAAGGACGTTCTTATTATCGACATTCTTATTCGTAGCTTCAGCACGTTTTGAGTTTTGCTCCCCACTTAAAAGCTTGCACAACCTGGTGTACACGAAATGACAGAAGCACAACTCCAAGGGTCCACTAAAGCTGACCAAAACACCAACCGATAGTGTTTTTTTCACAATTATTTGCACCCCAATTTGCCAACGGTTTACATCACTATTTTGCAAAATTTGAGACGTCAGGGCGACTTCTCGATCAAGATAACTGATATCAGGTTGCAAGTCTTTCGAGATTTTCTTGAACGTTTGTACTCGGTTGTCCAATACATTGAGCGGACCTTCACACTTGTACTCAGTAATCCCGCCAATACCGAGATTCGCTTCATGTACGATCTTCCCACCTAACACTTGTGTTAAAATGATCACCACAAAATTCTTAACTGAGTCTATCCATTTATCGAGTGTGACTTGCGCCGGTTGTTTTAGCCCAAACTTGGCACGCTGGCAGTTTTTAGAAAACCAGAATAAATCAGCTAGTAAGTTTTTCTTAGTTAGCTGCCGATCCGCATATCTGCAAAGTCCAGCAAACCTGGCTGCCGTGGAATATCGCACTGACGCAGAAACGTTCCTTGTGTGTTCAAACGGGCACTGGATGCACATCCCGGAATCAACCACCAACTCCCGGTCTTGTTTCGCGTAACATTGATACTGTTCCGGGAGCGAAAACGGCTTCAAAAAGCGACTTTTAGCAATCGGGATGCCACAAAAAGGCGCCACTACCATTGAAAAGTAATCGAAATCGCCGTAGAACTTGAAAAAACCCACAATCAAGTCAAAATTCGACTTTTTCAACGGGGCTATTTTTTTCCAGTTGTTTTTAAACTTCGGAGTGGTGGTTTTTTGCACAGCTGCCATCGCGGGAAGTTTGTGGACTACTTGTAGGTAGAAAAGCACCATTAGTGTGATCATGTAGCCCGTGATGGTGTGAATTATGTGACAAGAGTGAGCCCAATGTTTGACTACTGTTATCAGAAACCTAATTTTTTCGTCAGAATATGCGTAATGTGCTAGCAGTTCGTAGGTGTAATTTCTAGGGGTAAAAGTGACTTTTAGGTTGGTGGTGAGGTGCACGCATTTAATGCAGTTTTCTTGAAGAGCGACATGCGCAAACCTGTCATTGGCGACAAGGAACTGGTGAAATTTTACCACGGGGGTGTCGTATATTTGAATATTTATGTCGCTTTTCGGGATATGGGTGCCTAGAAAACCGGAACCGCACAACTTGTATTCGAACATCGGACCTAAGTCGGCAGAGATAGCATGCAACATCTCGTTTAGTGTGGTTTTAGAAGTGTGGAAGCGACAGTAGAAAAAGTTTACTTGCTTTTCGAAAGTCAGGAAGCTTTTCTTACGAAGCTGGTAGTAGAGAAAAGGGTCGACGCCTGCTGAAAAAATTACTTTAAAAGTAAATTTAAAGAAAAAAATCGTGTTTACCTTGGGTGTTAGTGTCTAAATTTACTACTTCAGTGGGAACTAGAAAATAAAATAAAATTGTCACAATTGGAGAGTTCAAAGTGGAATATACTCACCAGTTTCATTTTGATTTGTAACAACTTGAGTATCTCCACAGTCTTTAGAAGTTGAAGTTTTCTCAATTTTGATTTCGTCTACAGGATCTTTCTTGGTCACTTTTTCTGAAACTTCTAAATATTCATGATTCTGTCATGTTTGAGCTCATACTTACCTATCGGCTCATCCTTAGCTACAAAAATTTTATTATCTGAATCGTCTATACATATTTTGACTTTGTGTTTCAGCGCCTCCAATAATCTAACGTATACAAAGTGTTGAATGTGCAAAATCAGGGGTAGATTTTCTTCATCCTTAAAACTAATACTGACTCTAGACGGATTTGTGTCAAATTTTAACGAAACTGCCATTTTCCAGGTTGCCTCTTTGGAAGAATTGTTCACTATATGCGAACTCACAGCCACTTCTCTTTCAACAGTGTTAATTTTTCTATCAACAGGAAGATTTTTCAAAGTTTGAACTCTATCGTCCCAAACATTAAAATCTCCACTACAATCATAACAAACCCCAGTTTCTTCAATCTTCTCAACAATATCACATCGACAAATCCGTTTCAAAATCGTCGAAACGAGAGATTTAATTAACCCGATCCATTCGTGTTCATCACAGAAGTCGTCATTAATAACAGAAAACTCATTTAAATCCTCGTCTGACGCTAACAACTTAAACAATATTCCTTTGGCATTTGAGCGCGCTAATTCTAAAGACTTTCTACACACAGCCGTGAATCTCGCACCGGATGATAAATCAACCGAAAGGGAGACATTTTTCGAATGCTCGAACACGTCCTGAACACAAATTCCAGAATTCACTACGAAAACCTCGTCCGAATTTACAAAGTTTTCAAAACAGTCCGGGAGTTCGTACGGTTTCAGAAAACCAATCTTTTCAATCGCTGAACCCCAATATGGTGATAGCACCGTCGACGCGTAGTCGAATTTGCTATAAAATTCCAAAAAACCGACCATCAATTCAAAAATTGTCGCGTTTTCGAGACTTGAACTCGTAAATTCGACCGGACCGAAAGCACAGTTCCAGCCGTCGACTTCATCCGGTGGTAAGTCCGTCTGCAAGTCCGCCACAGAAGGTAAATTGTAAGGGTCTTGTTGGAGGTAGAACAGTACCATCAAACAAATCGCGTAACTGGACAAACCATTTTCGTGTCTAAGGCCACAACAATCGAGCCAAAATTTTATCAACACAATCAAAGGTTTGAGTTTCTCGTCGAGCATTAAATAGAATTTGATTAATTCGGTGTTACCAACCGGCAGCTCGTTTTTAATACTGACTTGACAGAAAATTTTAGTCTTTTTGTGCTCGAATTTAACCACTGGAGAGTCCCCATCGAGACACAACGAAACCCGTTCGAAAAATTCGCTTCTCTCGACTTGCTCTTTGATACGCTCCAGTGTCGCCAACTGCGAGTCAGTATTGTCAACGTAAATGTTTAAATCGCTATCGTGAATATCCAAATCTGTGACGCTCGAACCGAAAAAATGGATCATGCTTTGCGGGAAATTAGTAACTAAAGCTGCCGCTAAATCGTTGTAAATTAGTTTTCTATTTGCTTCCGTCTGCGTTTTGGTGACTTTTAGTTTGTTTTGAAAGAGAGTCAGTTGCTCGTCAAAGGTTGGCAATTCTTTGAAACTATTTATGATGGCGATTTTGCGATAAATAAATTTTTCTGAAACCGGAAAAATAATTGGTGTTTCATTGGTCTGCCTGGTGAAACATTAATAAATATTTGTGGTGGACTTACCCTTGCGCATTTTGTCGTCTGGAAGCACGTGAAGAAGATCACCTGACTTACTTTTCTTAAACCAGCTGATTTCTATTTCGTTGTCACAAACAGTATGCTCTTGGTGGATAATTTCCGAATACACTCTGGCATCCCAAAATCGATATTCTATAGAAACATTATTACCGCTGTTTGTGACACTTTGGCCCCTTATGCCCCCAAATTTCACAAAGTGTTCGAACACTCTATGAATTTCATCTTGTTTGAATGGTCCTGGAGGGTTAAATGTGTTAAAATTCCACAAACAACGATAATTAAAGTACCTTTGACCACTATTTTCGCCGGCAGTTCTTGTAAGTGCTGTTTTTGAGCAACGTGGCTCTTCCAGTCAGTCGCAGCAATATATTGCAGGCAAAGTTTACAAAATATCTTTACCATGGTGTTTACGTTGACAAACGTACCACTAAACTTAAAACATCACAATAACTACAACGCTTCAAATGAAACAACTTTGTTTAAGAGCACAAATTGAAATCAATGAAACAATAACAAACACACATGGTTTTGGCATGGAGGGAATCTTCTAAACGTCACGTGGCAGAAATGTCAAATTTAGTAATTTATACAAAGTCCCTAGTCTTAATCGCAACCATAGATTAATATAGATGCGACATACAGTCTGATTTTGCAAAACCACCCTTATTGACATAAAAAAAACTTGTTTCACTACAACTTGTCGCCTGAGAACTTGTTTGATCTACAGACCAGAGCGCGCTCAGGCCAATGTCGACTCTAAGCGTTCAGAAGCGATTTGGTTGGTTTGGACTATAATTTCTGCGGGAAATAGTTGTTTGGTCGGTTTTTATAACGACTAAGTGAATATTTTTGGTACATGATTTTACATATTTTGTTTAACTAAGAATTAATTCTTTATTTGTGTTTCATACTAGCAAAACGTCTTAAACTAAGAATATTGTTGAAATCGTAATAACACAATGGATTTTTTTCGGGAAAATGTTTTGGAAACACTGTGTTCTATTTTGTATGAATTCTTAAATGTTTTTAGTGACAATTTTTGTGGTTGTTTTCAATACACTGTATGATATTAACAGTAAAAAAAAAATGAAAAATTAACATAATCGAAAAATCGAGAAATCTAATCGAAAAATCGAAATCTTAAAAAATCGTAAAACCGTAACATTGAAAAATCGAAACATCAAAGAACTGAAAATCGAAAAATGAAACATCAGAAAATCGAAAAAATGTAAAATTCAAAAATTTAAAATCTAAAAATCGAATAACGAAAAAACAAGAAATCGAAACTCCCAAATTTAAAAAATCGGATAACTGAAAAATCGAAACATCGAAAAACTGGACAATCGAAAAATCGAAAAGTTAAAAACTGAACAATTTATAAATTGACAATCAAAATATCGGAAAATCCAAATTTCGATAAATCGAGAAATCAAAAAACTTAAAATTCGAAAAATTGAGCGATTGAATGATCAAAAGAAGGAGAAATCGAAAAGTGATGAAGTCGAAAAATTGAAAAATTGAGAAATCGACAAACAAAAAGTTAAAAGTTGAAAAATTGGAAAAGCGGAGAAATAAAAAAAAAACGAAAATATGGAAAACTGGAAAAAATGAGAGACCGAAATAGGCCAAAATAAAAAATTGAAAAACTGATAAATCGAAACCCTGAACAATCAAATCTCGATAAATCGGGAATGAAAAATTAACAAATCGAAAAATTGAAAAACAGAACATCTAAAACCAGGAAGTCGAAAAATCGAAAGACTGAGAAATATTGAAAAACTTAAATATCAAAAGATTGAACAACCTAAAATTTAAAAATCCAAAAAGTAAAACACATCGAAAAATCCAGAAGTCAAAAATAGAAAACACGAAGAATTGAAATATTGAAAAATCCTAAAACTGAAATATCTAAAAACTGAAAAATCGAAAAATCAAAAAAGTGAAGTCGCAAAATAGAAACCTTAAAAATCGAAAAATTGAAAAATCAAAAACCTAAAAAATCAAAAAATTAAAGAATTGAACAACAGAAAAATCGAAACACTCGAAGGTCAAGAAATCGGAAAATCAAAACATCGATTAATTGAAAAATCTAAAAATTGAGAGTTTATAAAAGTCAAAAGATTAAGAAATCGAAACATTTGAAAAATTCGAAAAGTTGAAAAATTGAAATATCGCAGAACTGAAATGAAAAATCGAGAAATCGAAAAATCTAAAATTTTAAAAATTAAAAAATCGAAAAAGTAAAAAATTCGACACATCGGAAAATCCAGGAGTCAAAAATCGAAAAGTCGAAGAATCAAAATATTGAAAAATCCCAAAACTGAGATATCGACAAACTGAAAAATGAAAGAAAAACTGAAAAATGGGAAAACCTGAAAAATCCGAAAACTGGAATATCCAAAAACTGAGAACCTAAAAAGTCAAAAAATTGAGCAATCAAAAAATCCATAAAGTGAAGTCGAAAAATCGAAACCTTAAAAAAACTAAAAAATGAAAAATGAAAAACCTGAAAAATCGAAAAATTAAAGAATTGAACAGGAATATCGAAACCCTCGAAAGTCAAGAAGTGGGAAAATCAAAACATCGATTAATTGAAAAATCGAAAAATTAACAATTTATAAATGTCAAATTTGAAAAATTGAAAAATCGAAAATTTGACAAAATGACATGTGAAAAACAGAAAATCTAAAACCGAGAACTCGAAAAATCAAAAGATTAAGAAATCGAAACATTTGAAAAATTCGAAAAGTTGAAAAATTGAAATATCGCAGAACTGAAATGAAAAATCGAGAAATCGAAAAATCTAAAATTTTAAAAATTAAAAAATCTAAAATTTAAAAACCGAAAAATTGAAAAATCGAAAAAGTAAAAAATTCGACACATCGGAAAATCCAGGAGTCAAAAATCGAAAAGTCGAAGAATCAAAATATTGAAAAATCCCAAAACTGAGATATCGACAAACTGAAAAATGAAAGAAAAACTGAAAAATGGGAAAACCTGAAAAATCCGAAAACTGAAATATCCAAAAACTGAGAACCTAAAAAGTCAAAAAATTGAGCAATCGAAAAATCCATAAAGTGAAGTCGAAAAATCGAAACCTTAAGAAAATTAAAAAATAAAAAATCAAAAACCTGAAAAATCGAAAAATTAAAGAATTGAACAGGAATATCGAAACCCTCGAAAGTCAAGAAATGGGAAAATCAAAACATCGATTAATTGAAAAATCTAATAATCGAAAAATCGAAACCTTAAAAAATCGTAAAACCGAAACATTGAAAAATCGAAATATCGAAGAACTGAAAATCAAAAATGAAACATCAGAAAATCGAAAAAATGTAAAATTCAAAAATCTAAGATTTAAAAATCGAATAACGAAAAACTGAGAAATCGAAACTCGCAAATTTAAAAAGTCGGATAACTGAAAAATCGAAACTTGGAAAAACTGGAAAATCGAAACACCGAGAAATCGAAAAATCAAAAGATCAAGAAATCATGGAGTCGAAAAGTCGAAGAACTGAGAAACCGAATAGGCCCAAATCGAAAAATCGAAAAGTTAAAAATTGAACAATTTATAAATTGACAATCAAAATATCGGAAAATCCAAATTTCGATGAATGATCAAAAGAAGGAGAAATCGAAAAGTGATGAAGTCGAAAAATTGAAAAATAGAGAAATCGACAAACAAAAAGTTAAAAAATTGGAAAAGCGGAAAAATAAAAAAAAAACGAAAATATGGAAAACTGGAAAAAATGAGAAACCGAAATAGGCCAAAATAAAAAATTGAAAAACTGATAACTCGAAAACCTGAACAATCAAATCTCGATAAATCGGGAATGAAAAATTAACAAATCGAAAAATTGAAAAACAGAACATCTAAAACCAGGAACTCGAAAAATCGAAAGACTAAGAAATATTGAAAAACTTAAATATCAAAGGATTGAACAATCCAAAATTAAAAAATCCAAAAATTGAAAAATCGAAATAGTAAAACACATCGAAAAATCCAGAAGTCAAAAATAGAAAACCCGAAGAATTGAAATATTGAAAAATCCTAAAACTGAAATATCTAAAAACTGAAAAATCGGAAAATCAAAAAAGTGAAGTCGCAAAATAGAAACCTTAAAAATCGAAAAATTGAAAAATCAAAAAATTAAAGAATTGAACAACAGAAAAATCGAAACACTCGAAGGTCAAGAAATCGGAAAATCAAAACATCGATTAATTGAAAAATCTAAAAATTGAGGGTTTATAAAAGTCAAAAGATTAAGAAATCGAAACATTTGAAAAATTCGAAAAGTTGAAAAACTGAAATATCGCAGAACTGAAATGAAAAATCGAGAAATCGAAAAATCTAAAATTTTAAAAATTAAAAAATCGAAAAAGTAAAAAATTCGACACATCGGAAAATCCAGGAGTCAAAAATCGAAAAGTCGAAGAATCAAAATATTGAAAAATCCCAAAACTGAGATATCGACAAACTGAAAAATGAAAGAAAAACTGAAAAATGGGAAAACCTGAAAAATCCGAAAACTGAAATATCCAAAAACTGAGAACCTAAAAAGTCAAAAAATTGAGCAATCGAAAAATCCATAAAGTGAAGTCGAAAAACCGAAACCTAAAAAACTAAAAAATGAAAAACCTGAAAAATCGAAAAATTAAAGAATTGAACAGGAATATCGAAACTCTCGAAAGTCAAGAAATGGGAAAATCAAAACATCGATTAATTGAAAAATCGAAAAATTAACAGTTTATAAATGTCAACTTTGAAAAATTGAAAAATCGAAAATTTGACAAAATGACATGTGAAAAACAGAAAATCTAAAACCGAGAACTCGAAAAATCAAAAGATTAAGAAATCGAAACATTTGAAAAATTCGAAAAGTTGAAAAATTGAAATATCGCTGAACTGAAATGAAAACTCGAGAAATCGAAAAATCTAAAATTTTAAAAATTAAAAAATCTAAAATTTAAAAATCGGAAAATTGAAAAATCGAAAAAGTAAAAAAGTCGACACATCGGAAAATCCAGGAGTCAAAAATCGAAAAGTCGAAGAATCAAAATATTGAAAAATCCCAAAACTGAGATATCGACAAACTGAAAAATGAAAAAAAACTGAAAAATGGGAAAACCTGAAAAATCCGAAAACTGAAATATCCAAAAACTGAGAACCTAAAAAGTCAAAAAATTGAGCAATCGAAAAATCCATAAAGTAAACTCGAAAAATCGAAACCTTAAAAAAACTAAAAAATGAAAAATGAAAAACCTGAAAAATCGAAAAATTAAAGAATTGAACAGGAATATCGAAACCCTCGAAAGTCAAGAAATGGGAAAATCAAAACATCCATTAATTGAAAAATCGAAAAATTAACAGTTTATAAATGTCAAATTTGAAAAATTGAAAAATCGAAAATTTGACAAAATGACATGTGAAAAACAGAAAATCTAAAACCGAGAACTCGAAAAATCAAAAGATTAAGAAATCGAAACATTTGAAAAATTCGAGAAGTTGAAAAATTGAAATATCGCAGAACTGAAATGA